TATCAGTATAGACTCTCTAACACATAGATATTGATTATTAATATTGTAACATGATAAAGCATCTGCAATTATATTATTAGCGCCATTCTTATACATTATATCATAATCATATGCAGATAATTTGTAGGTCCAACTTAATAATCTTTGATTTGTTAATGAGCTTTAATCTCTGTTTTTGCCATATATCGTTATTATATTGTGGTCCATTGGTAGTATAAACTTATGTCCATACAAATAGTTATGAAATTTTTCTACGCCGTTTATTATTGCTTTAGCTTCTTGTGTATTTTAGAATATTAATAATTATTTCTTGCCTGTCTTCAATAAATCAATATCTATGTGTTAGAGAGTCTATACTGATAAACACAAAATTTCTATGAAGATGCCTAATGTCGCACCTCAAAAGAGGATCATTGGATTTATTTTTATTTAAATATTTTTTATGCACCTATCAAAAAAATAAAATAACGTTACATGGGGTGTTAATATAATAAGAATTCAATACTTAAAATAATATTTTATGTTACTTGAATTAACAGAATCCAACATTTCAGGTATAGGCGGTTTGGGTATAATAAAGATAAGTTAATTGTAATGTTGTTGAATACCAGGATTGCGATGTTATTTATGCTGTGTGGGAATTTAGTAATAATTTCACAGTATTTAAGGCTGAAAATACAATTCTAGTCTAATGAACGAGTTTAGTTAAAATTTAAATATTATAATAAATTTAAATAATATTTATTCAACAGATTCTAAAAATATTATTGTATCAACAAAAGATAAAATGGTACAGACGGATAAATCTGTTATACATAGATCCACCTATCCAGGTTTTAAATATGGAATTATAAAATATAAGCTTTTTTTACTCCAAACATTTATTAATATGATTTAAATTTAGAATAAAAAATCATATTGTATTTTCTATCAGGGTAGGGGATGAAAATAGTTTTTTAATATTAAACTGATTTATTCTGAAGCAATAAAAAATTATTAAATCATCATCAGATAAAATACATTAGTACCAATTATACTAGGAAAATACAAAATATTAAGAGTTAATATAATACAGTTAAAAAATATTATAATGATTAACATTTAGAATAAATTATATCTATATAATTGTAATTTTTAAGAAAATCATCACAATTATTTGTGATTAAAAATATATAAATTTTGTTTTAAAAATAATATATATCTCTGGTAAAATGAAACAATTATTTTAATAAAATGATAAACTCAATCATTTAATTATTTCTTATCTGTCATCATTAAATCTATTTCTTAAAACTCTCTAACATGATAATCATATAAATTTTAGAAGATTCAATATAGAAATCATTAAAAATTGGTAGGTCTAAACGTCGAATTTTTGAAAATATTCAAGGGTTAAAATACCATATAATAAATTATAAATTCAATTATTTCTTATCTGTCTTCAATAAATCAATATCCATGTGTTAGAGATAGTCTATCCTGATAAACAAATCTAGAGGAACCCAAATGTCGCACCTCAAAAGGATGATCCTCATACTATCAGGATCATTAGATTTAATTTTATTTAAATATTTTTTATGTACCTACCAAAATAAATAAAATAGCGTTACTTTAGGTGATAATATAATTAGAATTCAAGGCTTAAAATAATATTCTTTGTTAGTTAAATTATCAGATTAGTCAATATTTTTAAATTTATGAGAACAAATCTAACATGTTGGGTATGGGCTGTTTGGTAGTGTTGTTGAATGCCAGAGTTAATTACGGTGTTATTTAATTGTATAGATGGTGATTAATATATGAGTTAGTAATAATTTAAAAATCGAGTGTTACTATAAAACAGCATATAAGGGTTAAAATTCCTTACTTATTAAAATCTTGCAATTCTAATCTAATAACTTTCAATTAAATAATTTTATACAAGTATAGTAAAAATTTTAAAAATATTATAATTTAAATAGAGATTTTTTCAACAGAATTACCAATGGTGGCGTCAAAACAAACGTGTATTACGCCTAATCGTTTTCCAGGTTTAAACTAATTTATAGTTAATTAAAGTAATTAATATTTTAATAGAGATTATGTGACCTTGAGTAAAAGTTAACTTTAATAAAATAAAATAATATGATTGTTGTAATACATTTCCATATTGAAAACATTCTTATATAGTTAAATAACTTTCCAAAATTATTAAAAAAACAATTTGATATAATTTTTTAATAATGTTTTTAAACTTTAATGAATTACGTCAAAGTTATGAATTAAATATAGTTTTTTTAATATTGGAAGTGGGAAAATAAGAATTTTAAAAATTATTCTATAAAAAAAAATTCTGATTTTTGCAATATATTTTTTTAAATTTAAATATTTTAATTACTCTTAGTAATTTAAAGATTGGAAATCAGGGTATAATTTAAAAGAATTTAGTAAAAAAATTTAAAAATTATAATAAATTTAAATTGTATTTATTCAACAGATCCTATTAGACATAAGATGATCAAACCCAATTCATCTTATCCAGGTTTGAAATGTGTATAAAATATAAACTTTTGTAAATTCTATAAAATATTTATTAATATGATTTACATTTAGAATAAAAAATTATATTTATATAATCAGGCGTGTAGCCATATATTTTCTAACAGGGAGGGGGGAGGATAGTTTGATTTTTTTTATATTAAACTTATTTTTCAATATCAGGAATAAAGAGTTGTAATATATAAAAGAAAAGGGGTGAAACCAAGAGTTATATCTTTGTGAATTTGTAATATATAAGGACAAAGAGATGCAAAACTGATTAACCAAGTGAAATATCAGGACTAAAGAGTTGTAATATATAAAAAGAGGGGGTGAAACAAGAGTTCTATCTTTGTGATTTTGTAATATTTAAGGACAGAGAGCTGCAAGTCTGACTAAAAGGTAGTAATATATTAAAAAAAGGGGGGAGGTAAAACAAGAGTTGTCTCTTGGGAAATTTTTAATGTCCAAGGACAAAGAGTTGGATAATCGTATTCGATATAGACATATATATCTTAATGCGTAGGGTTTTCTTATTAAGGGATGTGTAATTAAGGGATTTGACCAAAATATATCGCGTTGGTCGACAACAGTATTTATATATTATTACGGGATGCTTTCTTATTACGGGTTGTCTAATTACAGGAGTTGAATTAAATATATCATTTGGATTAAATATAAAGGGAGTTGATTAAGATATATCGCTGTGGTCAATAACAGTATTTATATCTTATTACGGGATGTTTTCTTATCCATTATATTTTTAAAAATTTAATTTTGTTATAGGACATTATATTAGGACTCAGAATTAAAAATTTGGAAATTATTAAGTCATAGCTATAAAATAATATTATCAGAAGTTTATAGTTAAACTGGAAATCAAGCAATGATTTCTACAATTTATATCACATAGGGGTAAATTTGCCATGGGTAAAACTGTCAAAATGTTCCATATGAAAGGAATATTATATTATTTGGGATATATATTTTAAAAGTCATAACAAAGAGGGAAAAAATTGAAATGTTGAATGTGTCTAAAATGGGCAGCTCAAAATATACTAACTATATTTATTTTTTTACAATTTAATAAGTGTATACTTTAAAGTGATGAATAGATGTTAAAATTTTAACCATTTAACAATGATGCTTTGGAGTAAAATGCTAAACCTTACATAATCAAGAACAGCTCCTATAGTATTATAGCTATAGAGCTACAACTCTATTTTATTTTGTAGATGAGGTGTTTGGCTAT